AGGAAAACTAAAGAGGATGACGATCGTGAAATCTACAAAAATGCAAAATGCCGTTTGTAAAATGCAATAAACGTGATTAACATAGACTATGCAATATATTCCGAATGGTTCGATGGAGAATGGAAGCCATCCATCTGCGGGTAATTCTTGGGCTGAGAACAAAGGCATCAAACTGAACGAGATTGCAGTTGAGATGTATCCCATCGAAACTGTTGAGAAGAATTTTTTGTAACGATTTATATATCCCTGTAGTATTTTAATTTCATATTCGTTGGCTATCTCCAAGAACGATTTGACTTCTTCTATCAAAACCTAAAAATTGAGATGAAAAAGTTATTATAATTTTAACGTCACATTTACATTGAATATCTTTTTAGTTTTAAATTCGATCAACCTGCAGTTCACTGTTGTTCCATTTGCAAAGAATCAAATCCAAAACGACTTCGAGCAAAGCGGCCATTTCGGAGGCAGTTTTCATTGACATAAGTATATCACTTCGAAAGTAAACAACAGCGAGCATCAAAGATGTCATTAATAAAATTACGTTCAATATCGAAAATGTCCACAAAATGTTACGAAAAATAACTCGCCTTTTACTAATATTCGGATTAATTGGCCAAGTACACGTGAATATTCCTATCAGTTCTAGAATGTATAGTACTTGACGAATGTTCATATTGTTGAAGATACTTATTTCATCGAATGTTCTTCCAAGTTAGAATATACTAAATGAAAATAGCAATCTGTCTTGTGGAAGTTTATGGAATAGATACCAATGAAAGTCGATTCATTAAATATTTACGATAGTTCCATTATATATTGCACGCAATGTATCGTATGAAACAAGGCTATTATTCTTGGGATGAAGGGTTCTTTTACATATTGTAGCATTTACATGATAGAATATGATTCTGTGTGATACAATTATCGAATATAAAAATTATAGAGAATAAGTGAAGAAAGCAAATAATAGTATCTAATATATTTTATATTCGATATGCTTTCAGTTCCTTTCACGTGTAGTAATTGTAACATTGCATATTCTTATAATACATATCGTAAAATTTAAAATTTAAGTTTGTTGGTATCAAAATATTCTATATACTATACTGGATGATATTTTTGTTGATTCTAAGGTCTTTTTCCAGACCATACATTTAAATTTTTGCTGCATTTTGAACACCAAAATTTATTATATGCAAATATTTAATCATCTGTTAATACCAGGTAATTTTATTTACAATTTAATTATCCATTAACTAAAAATCTATTTCTTTTATTACAAAATGCAAATTTATTGCAAATTTTTTGATCATATCCATCATTAATCAAGTGTATATTTTATAAAAAATAAACTCTTCAATGTAATTTTTTTAGTTTTTGTTTTATTTTCAATTATATTCTTTTCTAAATTTTATTTTACCATGAATTCGGTACCATGAATTCGGTCGTTCATATTTATCATAATATAGAATAATACACTTCATATCGATTGTGTAAAACATATACATATTCAGCTAATTAGCTCATATTATTTTCTCTAAAATATTTAATTATATCACTGATATTACGTATACAATGATATAATTATATATTATATATTAAATAATAATAATTTCCCAACTCTAATTGCATGAAAGTTGCTGCGAATTGGACACTCACTTTAACCACAATCCATCCACCTATTATTTTGAATGAATATTTATTTATTTTCAAATAAATTCTTCTTTTGGTATATATTTACAAAATGTTCAAACTTTTGATCGTTGTACAACGCAAACAATAAAAGAAGTTATAAAGAAAATCGACGCGGAAGACTAACCTAAAAATAAAATCTAAATTAAGACATTTTCTATCAATATTTTAAATTTCCATTATCATGAAAATGAAAAATAATTGATAGTTAAAAGCGTAAAAAAAAAAAAAAAAAGAAAAAAAAAGTGAAATAAGCATTCTACAAAGCACTACTTTGCTCATTAATTATTTTATCTATTTAATTAACATCCTTAATTCTAAATGCATGCACTTAATTCTAAATATATTTTATTCAATATTCTTTTATGATCTTTGTTCCTATAAAGAACTCTGAAACAAATTTAAATATCACTTTAAAATATTTCAATCATTCCATCTATTCTAAAAATTATTTTTATATCCTTATTTACATAATAATTAAATATTTTATTTAAAACTTCTGCCTATTGAAAATTTAAAGAATTTTTTTCATAATACATTCATAACATCCATAACATTCATACAAACGACACAAATTTAAAAAAAAAAAAAATTTTTAATTCTTTTAGAAAAGATTTACTATATAAATCACATATGGCCAGAAAAAATGCAAATGAGGATATATCAATGATGAGTGAGAATATATCAATGAACAAAGTCACATCTATCAAGGATAAGTTATCAAGGATTTGATTGTTTCGAATAAAAAAGTTTATGAATATGATATATCATCACATTGATAAATAGGATTAAATTAGAATTAAATTAAATTATTTCTTGAAACTTTGAATCAGAATAAGGAAAGCAAAGATGTCTTTCAATAAAAGGAAAAGGAAAACATTAAATACATCAATTTAAATTCTAAAAAACTAAATATTTGATTCTATCTAATGTAAGAAATGAAAGAATTTTCAGATGATATTCTTTTTAGTCTATTCCGTTGAAGAAATTCCTAAAACAGAATATATAACAGAATTAATGAAACTCAATAAAAGTAGTTTTTAAATAAAGATCAAATATCATTTCGTAATTATCCTTCTTTTTTTTTATTTATTTTTTCAAATTCATATCTGTAACAAATTATTCGATTAGTAATTACAAATAATTTATATTTAAGAAAAGAAATATTAATTATTGAAAAATCAAATTATTAAAATATTGTTAAGTAATTCATAATTTTAAATAAAAGATATTCACTTGTAAGAAAAAAATATTTTACTTTTTAGTATTTATTACTTAACAATCTTTAACAATATTTTCAATAACAAATGCTTTTAATAAAGAGATGCTGAAAAGAAAAAGAGATAGCCAGAAGAGCTATCATAATAATTGTAAACCCGAACAAACCGTGAAATTTTTTTTTTTTTATTTCGCAACACTAATATACTAAATTTTTCAAAGAAAACCCGAAGAGTGCTTTATTATATTTGCAATTCTTAATTAACAAAAAAAATAAAAAAAAAATAGAACATTTATGAAAGTATATGTTTTTAGTATAATGCTTATTTACAAAATTCTAATAAATTACTTTATGCACTCATATTTTACTAAACGCAACACTAATTGCGGAATTGTAGCCATATTAAAGGCTACCTTCGTATGATCCACCTTTGTGCAACTTTTTTAGTTGCAATTATATGAACCAAGAACAGGAACACTTCCACAATTCAAGTGGAAGAAATATGGACAATATTTGTGAACGCAACACTATTATATAAAACACGATCATTCGTTAACGCAACACTACTGTAAAAAACGCGATCATTTATCAACGCAACACTAATTCTTAAAATGAATTTAATATTATTATATTAATTAATAAAATTTACTATTATTCTATTATATAAATGAAAAATTACTTTAAATATCTCTAGATATTATAAATAATACTATAGGATATTAGGATATATAAATTCAAAATTAAATTAAAAAAAAAGTAATAAAAAATAGACTAATTTATAATCAAACTAATTAAAAAAAGCAACAAACAAACGCGATCATCATTTTATCGCAACTAATTCAAAACGCGAGATTTGTAAACGCAACACTAATTCAACCCGTATTTTATTTGTAAGCGCAACACTAATGCAAAACCGTATTGTCCATTGATAACTGGATCTGATGGGCCGGCATGCAAAACGGCCATATGATACAACAACAATTACTACATATTACTAAAACAAGCACAGTGACAAAGTAATAACAATGACTTCCCATTCTTTGAATTGAAAAGAAGATCCAAAAAATGAGAAATCATTCGTTGCAGCCCCTCTTCGTGACAGTTTGTCGAGGCCTCTTCGGTCTTCCTCCTTCGGGCGCGATGCCCGCTGAAACTTAAATCTAGGCTCGAGATTCCCTAATCGCTAATAAAAAAGAAAAAGAAAGAAATAAAAAAATGACTAATTCGCGAAAGCTAAGTACACATGGACGACCAACGATCGCAATGATCGTTCTCCGTACATGTGTAGAATCTCGAGCGCAACGTTCGTTTCGAAATAGTTCGCGATCACGACCGCGGAATTCGAAAAATCGATAAGCAAAACCAGAAACGAATGGCACTGTCCATTCATCTCAGCTTCACCCTCGATTTTTCAAATTTGATTTCCTGAAACAGATTGTCACGCGAAAACGCGCCTACCCGATCGGAGACTGTGACAATCTGCCCGGCCCTACCTACTTATATATAGTTAACAATCATACCAGAAGTATATTACCTATCCTACCTAACTCTATATTTAAAAAATGGCAAAACAGGCATACCAACACACTCGTTCCACGTTTCTCACTCATAATACTCGGGCGCAAATGCCTACACTAGGGAAAGCGTCCCGGGACACCTCCGACACCCGAGCTTGGCATACATCTTTCACACTCTAAATTTACGTACCGTTTTCCTGAAATCGACTGACAATGGCTAGTGATCATTGCGTAAACGCGATAAAAATACATGTATTCTAGACTAAATGATAAATTTATATCATTATATTATAATTTGAAAGATTAGAAGATTAAAGATTAGAAATACTATTATTTATTGTTATATCCGCAACATTTAATTGAAAGTGTATAATATTTTGATTGTAAATTGTAATTAAATTATTAATAATAAAGGATAATAATTGAAACGATGCAATTCCACAGCCTAATCACACACACAATGTGGAAAGTACGTCGTGCACGATACACTAACGCATTGTCAGTCGCTGAAAAATTTTTATTAACTTATGAATTAAGGTCATCATGCCCATCGCCTCTCTCTCACCCAAGTAGCACCTGGGCACGTGAGTGAGTTCCTGGCAATGAACATGGAAGGATTAAATCTGAAAATCCTAAGCTAAAAAAAATATTAATATATTTATTTTTTATCTAACGGGTTAATATTCTTTGATTTTGCATTATATTCTTATTATATTTCAAATAAATGTGATTATTTTATATATAGTATAAATATAATATTTTATTCTACTAATATTTGATAAATTATAATATTAATATATGAATGAAAAAATTATTTCTGACTCTATTTTATATTTTTTAATTTAATAAATTGTTAAAATTAAGCATATTAAATAAAAAAAGAATTTATTTAAAATTTACTATAATAATAATAAGTAATGAAAATATTCTCAGGTAATTCCTTCATCAGAGTACATTTTCGAAGAATATTGTTCAAAATTTATTGCTCTGATTCTGAAATTTACCTGTCCCGAAATGTCTTCTTGCGCATAAAATTTAATTTATATTTATAAAAAATTATTTATTAAAAAAATTGAACTTTACTACTTATAGATATGTTATATTGAAACTCATTACATAATCAAATAACTTGAATATAAATATTATTAAGCAAAAAAAATAAAAATAATTTATTATTGCATTAACGATAATAAACTGTATATATATATATAATTGTAACAAAATTGGATATCGAACTTTTCCATTATTAAATTCAAGTTAGCATTAAGTACTCATTTATATTAAGTATGATTTATTACTCATATATAATTTTATTTTAAATTATAATAATTCAAATTAATTGGTGTATTTTATTAGTATATATATATATATATTTTATTATTAGAAAATTGCTAATAATATTATTTAAAAAAATGAAGCGCAAGAAAACCCTGACCTGAACTAATGAATAAAACAAAAGAAATAAATGTTATTACTCACTGGTATTATAAATAAATACCAGTGGTCACTGTGCTCGTGCAAAATTCTACGTATACAACCAATCACCCGTGTCGATTCGGATTCTTTCATCCTACGACATGATTGAGTGATCAGAGGAATCAAAATGCATGTGACTCACCATATGATGCGACGAACATTGCTGTGGCATAGAAGTTATTGAAAAGAAAGTTGTTATCAGATAGAAGGATGTGAAAGTTAGTAGAAATCTGTAAAAAGTAAGAATAATCTAATTTGAAAAAACATTCTGATTATTTGAAAGAATTGAAATAATAAAATATCAAACTACTAAATTTACAATATGTAATAATGATATAATATTGAAATTCTAATAAAAATAAAAATTAAAACTCTAATATAAAAATTTAATATTTAAAAATTTAGAAAGAATAAAAAATAGTTACCTCTTCACGTGATGGATGACCTTATGTTCTTCATGCACTGATTTTACTTTGTATCAAAAATGAATATTTATAAAAAAATAAGAAAAAGAAACTAATAATACGTCTGTATAATTGGTGAACAAACACTGACTCTACTTTTGCATTTGAGTATCTTGATTTTAATTAAATTTTAATTAAATTTGCACTAAAAGAAATTAAATATGACAAAACACTAATATAATTTTATAATATATAAAGATACTAATTTTACCACTGATTCTATTTACCGCATTGCACGCGGTCATAATATTTTCTGAAATTAATATTAAATTAATAAAAAGATGAGAGAGAAGAAAAAGTAATATTTTTCTTCTTTCCAATATTAAGTATTTATTCTAAAAATACTGATTTTTTATTTTAAATTTAATTGATCAATGAATTATAAATAAAAAATATTTACGAAAATTTTTTATAAATATTTAAAAATGAAATGTTTATTATCAAAATTTAAAATTTGCTTTCTAATAATAAAATATCAAAATTTCTTATGAATTTTTAATTTTTTCTATTTCTTTTAATTAAAATGTAAGTTCATTATGAATTATTTAACAACAAATGATCAAATAAAACAAAATAAAAGTATACATACAAAATATCAAATTTTATTGCATCTCCAAGAACAGACGTCCATATTGGAATTTTTCCCGCCTTCGAGAGACATGACGAAACCAATTAAATCTGTATAAAAGAAACGAAAAAACGAAAAAAATATATAATATTAAAATAATTTCTAATTTGTTAAAAAATTATAAATTTTAATAATATTGAATAAAATATCAAAAGATATAATATTAAGCATAAACGATGAGAAAATAATTATTACGAACTGAATGGAATACACATCATGAGGAAATTTCAAACGTCTAATCAACACGACTTGTCGACAAATAATGATATTTCACGACTCTATTCGTATATATATATATACACGAATTATAAATTGGAGAGGGGATACGCCACGTTCTCAAAACATAACATAAGAAATGTTTTCAATCTCGAGCAAAATATAGATAAGAGACGAGGGAAAGATTTACAATACACGATTTACAATACCGTTATACACATAGATATATATATGTAGAAAAAAAAAATGCGTCACTTAAATAATTCGATCTCACGAAATGAAATTGATCGTAATTAACTTCTTTTATTTCAACAAAATAAAAAGATAAAAATAAACATCAATATTAAATAAATATATAATATTAAAATTATATTAAAATGAAATAATATCTAGTTTCAAGTTTTTTCTCGAAATATTTCGATATCAAAAGCCATTAGTGACGTAATAAATAAATGAACAATCGAAAAGAAAGTACATTTATTATAACACTGTTCAATTATGGTATAATATACAAATACGTATTGATTAAATAAGATTTAATAATCCATAATTAAATTTAATAATAATGTAATATTCTAACGATAAAAATTTTACGTAATTTTACATACCTTAACTGATGAAACACAACCTGTCACCACAATTTTCAACTGGAGACTGATGCTATGCGCACTACAATGCGCACTGATTCATTTTATGGTTAATTCTTAGTAGTTTTCTGATTGGCTAAAACTGCGCGGTTCCTTATTTCAAATCCGCGCGAAAATTAAAATAAGTATTGTATAATATATTTTAATTATATGTTTTAATTGCAAAAAATCAAACTTTATTGTTTCTTTATGGCGTTTGATATTGAAATTTTTTCTGTTTTCGAAATATCAATAATCAACTAATAATTTATATAGAAATCAAATTTCAAATCAATATTTAAAATATATAAAATTAATTAATTAAATTATAATAATAAATAATTATCAAATATAAATATTAGATTAATATCAAATCAAATATTATTTTAAAAATATAATATATAATTCTTATATAATCTTTAATACTTTTATACTTTTAATATTTCAAAATTTCACATTTTTACAATTTTTAGAATTTTTATACAATATAACATGGCATAAAATTT